GACAGGCCTGGAGGCTGGCCCTCGTCCCTTCCCGCCCCAAGCCCTGCGGGTAAGAGGTGTAAGACCCTCCCCCATCTCCTTGTCCCTTCTTCTCCCCTGCCCCAGCTGGTGCCAGGTATGGGGGTTTCTCCTTGGGTCCCCATCCCAACCTGGTGATGGGGCTTAAGGAGGCCCCCGTTCCCCCTCTCTGTTACTGGTGACAGGCCTGGGGGTGTCTTACCTTGTCCCACGCACCGGTGACAGGCTGGGGGGTGCCTGTTCGTCCACTGGGGACCCTCCTCCCTCTCTCTCCAGGCCCTACGGTGGGCTGCAGCTGCCTGTCTCGGTGGAGGCAGCAAGGCTTCGTGGTCGGAGGGGGGTCAGGGCTGGGGTTCGGGTGGCTGCTGGGGGTCTCTGCGACTGTGTCCGCTGGGTCTCGGTCTCGTTTGCCCCATGGGCACCGGTCAGAAGGGCTGGCTGGGCAGAGCGCCTTGGCTCGGAGCAAACACACGTCGTCCTGGGCTTTCCTCCTCTGCAGAGCGCTGGCAGCCGAGGAGAGCAAGCCCGGCAGCTGGTCATCGACCTGGAGACTCGAGGGAAACGGGCTTTTCCTATATTCCTCTCGATCCTGCGGGACACCGGGCAGGGCGATCTTGCGGACATGCTGATCGAGGAGTGCGAATGCCCGCCGCCACCGCTGCAGCTGGTAGACCTGAGGCCTGTTGAGCTGGACTTACGTGGAGAAAAGCATAGCAAAAGTAAGTATTAAGGGCATGGTTGTTTTCTGGGCAAGCAGCGGCATGGGGGGCGGCAGCTGGGATCCCTCTTGGTGTGGGTATTAGTCTGTGAAGTCCTGGTTTTTATTATCCTGGAGCGTGGCTCGTAGAGGTGACTACGCAGAGCTGTTGGGAGAATGTCATGCTTTCCGGTAGTGGAAGCTTTTAAGCTCAAGCTGCGTGCCCGTGGTGTTAGGAGCTTCATTCTCCGTATTTTTGCACGCAACCTCCCTGGTACCTTGGTGAAAGGTGATTTTTGCCATGTCCTTGCCATCTTGTGCTCTGCTGAATCCGCGTGCAGATCCAGCTTGTGCGGTTGTAAGAAGAAACTTCAGTCTGTCGAATCCTGAAAAGGGGAAAACGGACGCGATGTTGTATCGCAGCCTCGCAGCAGGGTCGCTGCGACAGGCGGCTGTTGGTTCAGGTCCTTCTGGGTACCCTGGGTTGGTTACTTGTGGTATGAAATCAGAAAGGGGAGAAGGTGAGACCCGACTGTCCTGTGTCATTATAGATGTGAACTTTCCTGAGCGTTTGTCCATCCCAGTCCAAGCTGAGAGCGAAAGACCTCGAACGCCTCCCGCGCCAGCCCGGGGTGAGCCACGTCCCAGGCTGTTCCAGAGAGGTGGGGTGCCAAACGCTCGTTTCCAGCGTGTGGCGGGGTGGGAAGAGGGAATTCGTATGTGTCACCGATGTGCCATGGGCGACGGGGCAGGATTGACCTTAATTCCAGGAGGAACGGGTGTAACGTCTCGTCGCGGAGTGCAGAGAGCTAAATACCGTGTCTCTGTTGTGTGTTGTAGGTTCGGCCGTTGACAAGAGGAACCGTGATCTGGTTAGTATTTGGTTAGGCCAAAAGTGTTCCCTATTAAGCAAAGACTCATGGGCGGCCACCGGGAAATAGGTCTGGGACAGCCGGGTTTTGCTTCTTGTTATCTGAGCGATCTCTCCGAGGCTGCCGCTGGTCTAACGGGGCTGATGAGCTCGGAGGAGGTCGATCGTTAGCCAGCTCCTCCTTAGGATTACCGTAGCTGTAGCACAAATAACATATCGCAGAGCTAAAGGTTGTGCTTAAACAGTTTCCAGCAAGGCAACTGGTAACTTCCTAAGGCACCGACTCGTGTGTTGTCTGCGAAGCGGTGTTTAGACTTCGTAGTCGTAGCGTTGAGGAACAGAGGCCAGGAAAACAATAACGAACGCGTGCAGCACGCTTTGGCACGTTGGGAGACGCGCAGGGAAGCGAGTGTTGTGAATACGGCAGCGTGTGTGTCTGGAGTTGCCTTCCGACAGCCTGTGGGTGCCCGATGCGGAGCGAACAGTTTGGCCGTGTATGTGCGAGGCTCGTAGCTGTATTGATGCAGGTGTTTGGGTAGCCCTCGTAAAATTCCTGCGGTGCTGTTATCGATGGTAAAGCCGAGTCTCTGGGTGATTTATCTACCCGTTCTCTTGGCTCCTTGCGTGGGCTCTCGTGGTGAGGTTTGATGATGCCTAAAAAAAACTCCTGGATACTTCAACTTGCCATCGGAGACGCTGCAGGTAAAGCAGCAGCCGGTTTTCCGCAAAGGCGGTCCCCGATTTGGCAGGTTGTTTTGTGTTCCCCGGCTGCTGATAACAATGTGTGTGCGGAGAACGGATGCTCTTATCCATCCCTAGGCCTGGAGAAAGGAAAAAGCTGTGACACGAGCTACTTTAAAGACTCCCGTTCCTCGTTGGCGTTGCGTCCCGCTGGATTAGCCAGCGAGCGCTCCGAATAAGAGGGCGTTTAATTGCGACGTGTGCCTGCCAGGTTTACGAGCTGAAGGCTGATCCGTGTGGATGCTGCCTGATCCTCAACAACGTCAACTTCAGCAGCGACTCGGCTATGTCGACTCGAGAAGGCTCCGACGTGGACTGCAAGAAGCTGGAGAAGCGCTTCAAGGCCTTGCGCTTCGACGTCCTGACTCGGCGGGATCTCAAAGCTCAGGTGAGGCCGGCCGTGTCCAGCTAACATGAGGGATGAGAGGCGAGCCCCCCAAAGTGATGGGAGCGCGTTACGGGATGTACCCCCCGTGTTGGCAGCACGCCGAAAGCCCCAGCCTGCGCCGCACGAAGAAATAATCAACCGCTGACGTCTTCTTATTTTATTGTCACGCTGCAATTGCAGAAGGAGAAAGGACCTTGCACGTTTTCGCCTTTCTGCCTGAACTTTGATTCCTGGTTGTGATTTGCAGGGAAATGGGCAAGGCTGTATTCCTGTGATAGCTCTGACAGCCTCTGCAGCCGGGGGCGCGATTTGCCTGCCTGTACAGTCCTCAGCTGTTACTCGAAGGGGTGGAGCGAGCTCAATCATCCGGAGCGGCCGCTGAAAGTAAAACAAGGTTCTCTGCTCCCCCACCGGCCCCCGATCAGCAGCAGTGCGTTTCAGCGGATAAAGCCCGTGGAAGCGTGTTTTGGTTTACATTGCTGCGTTGTAAAGAACGCAGCGAGGAGAGAAACCTCCGTAATTAAAGCTACCAATGTTAAATAAGGGCAGAACTGCAGAAATACTCACTGTCTGCTGATGGGTTTTGCCGCCTGTGCGTGCGGTGCATGTTATCCCACGGCAGAGAGATTGACTGGATCCTTCTGAGCAGTGCAGCCGGGATAGACTGATAAGAGCAGGGCCTGGCAGTAATCTGTGGCTGAAGTATGATTTGAAAAACTCTTACCGTGACGTTTTCTACGTAGGAAATGGTTTCAGAGCTGCAGAAGCTGGCACGACGGGACCACAGCGCCTTGGACTGCTGCATCGTGGTGATCCTTTCCCATGGTTGTCAGGTGGGTTCATTGCATCTCTCCCTTTGCTCGTTAGCCCGGTTGCCCGCGCGGGAAGGGGGCATCCCCTGCGCCGCGGTCTCACGCAGGGTGGGTGGGAGGGAAACAGTCTGTCGTGACCGATCTGATAGCCGTTCTGCCGTCGCAGTACATTGCAAAGAGTTACGTTCTTGTGTCGGGGTTAAAGAAAACAGGAGCTTCTCCAGTGCAGTCTGACCCAGTGTTGCCTGTGGACAAGTGGTTCTCCCTCTTGGAAGTTGGGGTGTGTAATTCAGAACGGAGCGATGGGCAGAGAGCGAAGGGAGGTAGCGCTAACCCTCATACTGTGGTCGTTTAGTCCTTCCTGTCTCTCCAGCTCTGACCAGGGAGATGCTATTAGTCGTAAAGCCTATTTATCGCAAGTCAGAGGCCTTGAAGGACGAGGAGAGGAGAGCAGTCATTAGGAAAATGGTGTATATTATGTGCCCGTTGTCCCGGAGGATGAAGAACCCTGTCGCTGGAGGAGGCGGGATAGGATTTGGATAATAAGAGGAGTCGGATTGCTGGGTTTTAGTGTGTTTCAAATGACTCCCGGGCGTCCCCTCACCCTGACGTGGTGCATGCGTTTGCAGTGAGATTCCTCCACACGCGAGGAAGTGAGATTTGTTCTGGTAACTTTAGGCTACAAAGCACCCGATCAGAAACGGGCTCCCTGGGAACTGGCCTCACCTTCCGCGTTACTAGCTCCTGGATTTTCCTCTTGCAGACGAGCCACATCCAGTTTCCCGGAGGCATTTACGGCACGGATGGAAAACCCATTCCAATAGAAAAGATTGTGAACTATTTCAATGGGTCCAATTGCCCGAGTTTGAGAGGAAAACCCAAACTCTTCTTCATCCAGGCCTGTGGTGGAGGTGAATCTTTGTTTTAGCTCCCGAAGCGAATTGGCTGTTGGGTGTAAGCAGGCATCGGAGATGCGGTTAGGCTTTGGCTTCTTGTTCCTTTTTTGTTCGTCGCCTGTTTCTCGGGCTGTCTTCTCTTACTCTTGGCCGCATATTCTGACCGCTAGCATGGGTTGAGTCTAAGGGCTCGGACACGAGCCTCTCGTAGGAGGGCGGTATCGATTTTCATGTGCTGGAATGGTTTTACTGCACGGTAGAGAGACGCGGGATGGAAGGAGGGGAGTAATTGCAGCACGCGGCCAGGCAGTGCACGCTGACTGGCCGCTCCCGGTCTTCAGCCATGAGGTTGGTGGGGAAGCACAAACCGAGGGCGTTCACGTGAATCGTCCGATGGCTCCAGCTGCACTTGTTGAGTCGAAGAGCCGAAAAGCTTTGTTTTGTTGGAGGGCCTTTATGGGGTTTGGTTTTGGGGTTTTTTTGTCTTTTCTTAATGGAGGATGTGCGATTGTTGAATGCTTGGGTAAGATGAATTTCAGGGAGTGTCGTCTTGCCGCTTTTTGCAGAACAACGAGATCGAGGCTTTGTAGTGGATTGCGATTCACCCGGCGACAAAGCTCCTGGAGCTTCTTTAGAGTCGGACGCGACTCCTCTTCAGACTCCGTTGGGTAACGTGGACGAGCCGGATGCCATAGCCAGTTTGCCCACGCCCAGCGACATCTTGGTCTCCTACTCAACTTTTCCAGGTGAGATAGCCCGTGCAAATCCTTTGCTAGGTACAGGGGGATTAGCAAAAAAGTTGGAGCTTCATGGCCAAAGTCGGTTGGGGGCAACTCGCTCTGTTGGAGAGGGCAGCCAGGGAGCGGCAGTAACTCGGTGAGACGAGAACAGCAGACTGGCTTTAGCAGCAATGTTCTCGTTCTTTCTCTGGAGGTTTTGTCTCCTGGAGGGAGGCGTCGAGCGGCTCGTGGTACGTGGAAACGCTGGACAGCGTGCTGGAGCAACATGCCCATTCGGAAGACCTGCTGAACATGTTACTGCGGGTAAATGTCTTTTTTTTTTCCTGCTTTTTGTTGTCATGATGAAGGAAATAGAGCTGCAGTCGGTCAGGGCACGGAGGCCTACGCTGAAACGTCATGATGAAGGAAATAGTCAGAGCTGCAATCGGTCAGGGCACGGAGGCCTACGCTGAAAAAAGGAAGGACGATATTGAGCGTTCAGTTTATGGATTGGCTAGTTGGAGGTACTGTGGAGAGGTCTAATTGTTAAGAAAGTGTCTGGCATTAATCTGCCAAAAATCTCTTTGAGGTTTCTCTAATGAGAAATAGGTCTGAAAATACAGGCTTGAATCTTTGCCAAGGAAGCTGCTAAAAAATTGCCTTAGACCAAAGCGTAGCTCATCCCACACTCAAAAGCCCGAGCCGGCAGGACACGGGGCACTGTTGTAAGCGTGCCACCACGCGTCCGGGCACATCGTGCTCTTGAGGAAGACCCGCTGGGTCTCTCGTGCCTGGAGATCTCCACGGGTGCTCTCTCTTTGGGTTTTGTGTCTTCTGGAGCTCCTGTGACACCGTGGTAAGTCTTGAGGAGCATCTCACCCTCGGGAAGACAATGCCAGATGTTTGTGTTCACGTGTCCTGGTGAGCGAGGAGTGCCGTGTGCCGGGAATGTGGAACCAGTGTGGCTAATAAACGCTTTCCTTTGCGTGCCCCGTTGACTAGAGAAGATGTCCCACGCTCGGGCAAAGTGTAGGTACTTCCAGACGCTTTTGCTGTTCTCCATGAGTAGCAGAAAAGTCTTTTGCGGCGGGGGAGAGAGGACCTACTTTTTTTTTTTTTGTCTTTCCTGGTGTCACAGTGCTTCTTCAGCATGCGGTGGCATGGCAGCTATTGATTTCAAGGGGGTAGCGTGAGACCCTCTCTGCGCCAGCTGGCATTCAGTGCAAGGAAGGTGACCTTGGAGAAAGGATGGGCATGTCTGGAGGAAAATGGGTGGAAAGGAAATTTGCTTTTAAGTAAACACCGGAAGGGAAAGGGAGTTGCGGCTCACGCCAGGAAGCACCCGTCGGAGGCAGTGGTGGCTTGGGTTTCTTGAAAGGCCGTGTCCCCTCGAGTCCCCTTTGTTTTTGCCGGTGAAAATGTCTCATTTTAGGAGACCTGCCTGCTCTCCTGTCCCACGGTCCCATTGCCCGTCCTCGTCACCGTGCTTCCCGCGAGAGGTCGTGTCCCGACGTGCGAGTTGGGAAAGCATCCCGCTCCTCAACCGCTCTCCTTCCGTTCTCAGGTGGCGAACGCCGTCTCTGCCAAGGGGAGGTACAAGCAGATCCCGGGCTGTTTCAACTTTCTCCGTAAAAAATTCTTCTTCACGTGCAAATGACGTGTGGGCTCTGAGGTCCCCGCCAAGCGTGAGAGTTACTTCCCCGCAGCCGGATGAAATCTGCGCCCGCCGTGACTCGGCGTCGACGCTCCCGAGTCACCTCGAGGAGCCTTTGTCTGTCTGTCGAGGTGGTTGTCTTGAGAAGCGTGATCTGTGAATACTGTCCTTGCTGTGAAATAGAGATAAGATGGAGCCTGGCACTGTGCTGATGGGAAATGTTAGGGACGGATGAAGGAAGGCCCTTTGCCGGGGCACATGCCGGCCCGGAGCCTCTGCGCTCGCAGAGAAAAAACCTAGCTTGCCACGACGCGGCCACGCTTGGCCTCCGAGTACTGTTTTTTTTGGTGATCGCGATGTTTGTGTCCTTTGCTGCCTGGAGAACTGATCAATGGAATGAAGGTCTGGCGCTTAAGCAGAATGGGATGATTTTTGCAATCAATATTTCTCGTTTTCAATAAAACGCAGTGAAAAAGGAAAAAAATCTTTTGCATTGTATTCCCTCCTCTGTTCTGTCTCGTGAATGCCATTTCAGCACCTCCTGAAGGCTTCTCCGAAATGGGAAGAGCAAGAAAAACCTTGCTTGAGTAATCTTTCAGCCTCCCGCTGTTACGGGTAGCGTTTCCAATGCGGCTGAGCCAGCATACAGAGACAGCAGCTCGCATCCTTTCGAGGAGTCGATCGGACGCTAAGCAGGAGTTACAGCAGGAAACCGATGAAGATTCCTTCAAGTACTAGAGCTAAGTTAAAGCACTCGCCCTGATGAGCTGCTGGGGGTAGCTGTGGTGACAGTTTTGGGTCAGAAAACCTGGATGTATGTGGGATTTTTGGGGTGAAAGCGACCTTGGAGACAGAGGAGCTGCCCTCGGGAGGCGCAGCTGCCTTAGGGTAGGTGGGGAAGGGAAGCGTCGGCGAGCTGCCGTGCGAGCTGCGCAGAGCCGCACGTGCGGCTGCCTGGCCCGGCCCGTCTTCATCGCACGGGGCGTTTTATGCTCTCGGGGAAACCATGCAGGGGTTTCATCACCGCAAAGGCAGATCGTGCTGTGCCCCTTCGCCTCTGCGCTGCTGGGGTGGCAAGGGATGCTTGTGGGTGGGCGGGGAACCCGTGGATCTCCAATCTGCCTTTGCAATCGCTAGGTATTTCCATGCTCCTTTTTTTGGGGAGCATTTCAGGTGCTTTGAGGCAGCTCAGCGCCGCCGGCAGAGTGATACTTAGCCTGGGGTTCGGGTTTAACTGTTTTTCGAAGGGTGCTGAGGCTTGAGCAATGACAAAAGGAGCTGAAAACTTGAAAGAAGTAGTTAAAAGTAGGGTGAGAGAGAGAAAGGGGGGGCTCATTCCCCCAGAGGGTGTTAACTCTCTCCTTCCGTTGCTTCCAGTCCCTACTGCTCAGGGAACAGCTCCTGCAGGGGTGCGGGCCTGGCCGCCCCCCCCGGCCCCCGAAGCATCGGTGTTGGAAAGAAAAGCCCCTCAGTTACTTGCCGCGTGCGAGGTCCCTCTGGTGATGCTTTGTCCCCATCGGCTCCAAAAGGTGAGCCGCACGGAGGATGCCACCCCGTGCCGGGGGCGGGCGCGCGTTTTGTTCTAAGTTTGATTTATTAAACTTGAAGACATATAATAGTTCTTTAAAGAACTATTTTAACTAAAAAAAAGACTTCTTTTTAAGTAATTACTTATAAGTAATTACTCATAAGTAAACAACTTATGTTACTTACCCATAAGTAAAACAACTAAAAAGTTGTTTACGTATGTGAACTAAGTTTTTACTGTTCTTTTAAACTTTTAAGACAGTTCTTGAACTTAGTTCAAGTTAAAACTAAGTTAAATAAACTTAAGAAATAATAAAGTTAGAACTAAGAAATTATTTAGTAATAATAAGTTTTTAAACTTTTAAGTTCTTGGTTTAAGAACTTCAGGAAGTCAACTATAAACTTAAGAACTGTCTTGAACATATGTAAACTACGTTGAGAACTTTTTTCATGTCTGTTTCAGTTCTTGAACTTACTAACTTAGTTCTTAAACTTTTTTTGGTCTTGAACTTGTGTCTTAAATATATATTATTAAGTTCTAACTTCAAGTTATTTAAAAGACATAATAGAACTTTAAGAACTTAAAGACATAATGAAGACATTAAAAAGTTTTAAATAAGCCAAATTAATAAACTTAAAGTTTTAGTCTTTTATAGTCTTAGAACTTAAGTTCTATTATGTCTTAAAAAGACATTAAAAAGTTCTTTTTTTAAAAGTTCTTTTTTTAAAAGTTCTTAAGGAACTAAAAAGACAAACTTATTAAATATCTCTAATTCTTTATTAAGTTCAAGAACTCAGTTAAAAGAACTTTTTATTTGTCTCGAGTTCTTGAAGTTTTTGAACTTAACAATAAAGTTCTTAAGACAAATAATAAAGTTCTTTTAACTGAGTTCTTGAAGATTTGTCTTAATAACTTAATGTCTCTTTTTAACTGAGTTCTTGGGTTTCTTTAGACATTAAAAGTTCTTAAAGAACTAAAAAGTTCTTAAGTTTGAACTTTTTTGAGTAGAACTTTAATAATGTCTTAAAAGTTCTTAAAAAGTTTTAACCTCCTAAAGAACTAAATAACAGTGAAGTTCTTAGTCTACAATAAGAACGTGAAGAACCTAGAAGAACTTAAAAAAAAAAAAGTAATAAAAAACTAATTAAAAACAAAAAGCCAATAAAGACGACATTTAAGAACTTCCCC